ATGTTTCTTCTTCAGTTTCTTAGTGTGACGAACTAATATTAATATATTCTCTAATGTTGTATTTGGTAAAAAGCATTTCATTATGTTGTACTTTGATGCATTGCTGGATTCAGTTTGCTATTATTTTATTTCATAATCTTTACATGTAATTTCACAAGTGATATTGGCTTATACTTTTTCGGTCTTATATTTACTTCGGTATTGGTCTCAAAGTGCCTCATTAAATAAACTGGGAAGATTTCCTTTTTTTTCCTCTCTCTTTTTTGTTTTTTTCAATGGAGACGAGGTCTTGCTATGTTGCCCAGGCTGGTCTCAAACTCCTGGGCTCAAGTGATTCCCCTGCCTTGGCCTCTCAAAGTGCTGGGATAAGAGGCGTGAGCCACTATGCCTGGCACTTTTTTCTCTTTTGAAAGCTTTATAAAATTGAAGTCAGCTATTCCTTTGGGTACCTGTAAGATCAGAGCCCAGTGATAATTTTTGGTTTGTTTGTTCTGTGGTACAAATATTTTAAACTGCAAATTAAATTTCCTTTTATTTATAGGTATATTCAGATTTTAAGGCCAGGTATGACAGCTCATGCCTGTAATCCCAACGCTTTGGGAGGCTGAGGCAGGAGGGATCACTTGAGTCCAGTAATTTGAGGCTGCAGTGGGCCATGATCGCATCACTGCACTCCAGCCTGGGAGACGGAGTGATATCTTGTCTCCAAAAAAGGAAAAGAAAAAAAAAAAAAAAGACTCTATATTTCGTCTTTCTAGGCAGTTTTGGTAAGCTGTATTTTCCCAGAAATGTATTCATTTCTTCTAGGTCTTTAAATGTATTGCCTTGAGTTGTTCAATGCATTCAGATCTTTTATTCTGCTACTGCATCTATAATTATTGTACTTCTTATAGCTAATGCTGTTTATTTGTATCTTCTCTCTTTCATCTTGATCAATCTTTCTAGAAATGTCTATTTAATTAGTCTTTCCATAGAACCTAGGAATTTACCCTCAAGATATATTCCAACAATACCATAAGATTATCATTTTGGCATTATTTATGATGGCAAAGTATTACAAATAATCTAATGTAAGAAATTATCTAAATAAATCATGGTATTTCCACTTAGTAGAATACTATACAGCTGTAAAAACGTAATAATGAGGAAGATCTCTATAAATCGATATACAGTGATTTTCAAGATATATCAAGTGGAAGAGCTGGGGCAGTGGCTCATGCCTGTAATCCCAACACTTCGGGAGGCTGAGGTGAGTGGATCACTTGAGGTCAGGAGTTCAAGACTAGCCTGGCCAACATGGCGAAACCCCATCTCTACTAAAAATACAAAAATTAGCCAGGCATCGAGGCACACACCTATAATCCCAGCTATTCAGAAGGCTGAGGCAGGAGAATCACTTCAACCTGGCATCAGAGGCTGCAGTGAGCAGAGATCATGCCACTATGCTCCAGCCTGGGCAACAGACGAGTGAGACTCTGTCTAAAACAAACAAGCAAACAAACAAACAAACCCACAAAAACAGATATATCAAGCGAAAAAAACCATTGTGCAAAAGGGTGTACAGATACTTCTCAACTTATGATGTGGTTACACCTGATAAACCCATCATAAACTGAACATATCAGAAGTTGAAAATGGGCATTTTGTTGATGTGATGGGATGTGGAACACAGAATGCAATATTCAAAAAAACACTGGCAACAGAGTACATTGTAGAATGGGTTGTTTACTCCTGTGATCACATGGCTGACTGGGAACTGCACTGCCCAGCATGGTTAAAGTATCAATCACATATCTCTAGCCTAGGAAAGGATCAAAATTCAAAATTGCAAGTATCGTTTTCAGTGAATGTATACTGCTGTCACATATCATAAAGTCAAATAATTGTAAGTTGAACCATCGTAAGTTAGACACATCTGTATATAGTATACTACATTTTATATAAGAAGAAAGGGGGAAAGCAGATATTTGTATCTGTTTATTCTCACACAAAAAAAACAAGAAGGAGAAGTTGTTTACCTACAGAGGATAGGTGAGGAGGAGGTAGCAGGAATAGGAAGGGGAGTGGAACTTTTATGAGTACATCTTTTTAAATAGCTTGGACTTTTAAACTATTCCTATCTCCTAAATATCAAAAAATAAATTAGTAAGAATGGAGAAACAACTAAAATGGAATGCCAACAGAAATCAGTTAAACCTATAACTGTACATCAAGTAGATAACATAAACACATAAGAAAAAAATTAATTCAGAAACTTTTGAACATGGTACTCTGACTGTGTACTCTCAACAGGATACTTTCTAAGACAAAAAGAACTTCAAAGAAATCTTGGGCTTTAGTTAGTAGTATTTTGAGAGTGATATTGATGTAGCAATTCTGAAAACTCTTATTTGTATGTATAAGATTTGGCAAGTGAGTAAATATACTGTTGGAATCTCATTAGGAGAAGGGAGATTCAAATATGAAATGGGAGAACAAATGAACACTGAGATGTTTGATGGGAATTACAGGTATCAGTATAAACTCATGAATTTTTAAAAGTTGTATCTCCTAGATCTGTCCCCTAAGAATACCGAGAAGCAATGACACTCCAGTAACAATGAGTACACCCAAAATCAAGATCTTGGTTTCTAAGTATCATTTCCTTCTAAAAGGAAATAGGGCTTCTTGGAGAAATCAATTATTCTAGGATGGGGGCGAAGAAAGTACTGTACAGACAAATCTACTGTAATCTCAGCACTTTAGGAGGCTGAGGTGGGAAGACTGCTTTCAGTCAGGAGTTCAAGACAAGCCTGGGCAACATGATGAGACTCCATCTCTACAAAAAAATGTTTGAGAAATTAGCTGGGCATCGTGGCACATGCCTGTTGTCCTAGGTACTTGGGAGGCTGAGGCAAGAGGATCACTTGAGCCCAGGAGTTTGAGGCTCCAGTGAGCCAGGATCCTGCCACTGCACTCCAGCCTGGGTGACAGAGTGAGACAAAATAAAAGAAAAAAGAAAGAAAAAGGAAGGAATGAAGACAGAAAATGAAGGAAAGGAAAGAGGAAAGGAGAAAGGAAAAGAAAAGAAAAAGAGAAAGAGAAAAAAAAAGATGAACCTAGAATATCCTGTTGTGTCAGAGAGTACTGAAGCTCTCAAAGACTGAGGGGGCATGTCAAATAGAGAAACTGCTTTAAGGTTGGGTCAAAAGTGGCCCAATTTGCATATCAAAATAAATAATGACAGGAGTAAATTTTTACCCCTGAATTAAAAAAAAAAACAAAAAACACAAAGACCGTATTAACAGTATCTAAATACTGATAGTTTTAAGAAAACATCAAAGGAAGAGGCAGAAGGGAAACTCAAGAGGATGCCAACTAATTAACACGGAAGGAATAATATCTATGATATCTATAGAAAAATTTGAGACTATGCAAATATTCTGTTCTCAATTAGTTTTTCCCCAATAGTTTTAACATCTGTTGGTCATTCTTGTCTGCTTCCAGTTTTAGACTAATGTGAAAAATGCTACTACAAACATTCACATACAGATCTTTGTGTAAATAAACACATTCATTTATCTTGGATAAATACCTAAAAGTAGGGTTATTTGGTCATATTGTAAGTGCATCTTTAGCTTTATAAGAAACTGCAATACAGTTTAGACACCACCTGCTCTGACCCAGGATCCATTCTCGGATCACACATTGCATTTATTATAGTTGTTACCTGCTTTTAGCTTCTCAGGTCTGTATCCAAGAGGAATGAGGGCATATATCCACTAAAAGACTTGTACAAGCATGTTCAAAACAGCACTATTTGTTGTAAACCCAAAACTAGAAAAACCCAAATGTTCACCAACAGTATGAATAAAGAAACTCTGAAAATTTATGACAATGGAATATTATACAGCAATGAGAAAAGAACAAACGAATGTTACAGACAATATGAGCAAATCTCACAATATGGAGTAAAAGAAGCCACACACAAAAAAGCACATGTTGATGATTCCATTTATATAAAGTTCAATAACAAGCAAAACTAAAATATAAAAGTCAGAAAAGTGATTTCCTGTGGGGGTGGTGATTGGGAAGGACACATGTGAGGTTTCTGAGATGCTGATGATGCTCTGAATCTTTAAGTGAGCTGGCCGAAGTAGCTCAGTTGGGAGGGTGTCAGACTGTTCCTTACCTAAGTGATGTTTACTGAATATGCCTGCTTTTTTTTTTTTTGAGATGGAGTCTCACTCTGTTGCCCAGGCTGAAGTGCAGTGGCACCATCTCGGCTCACTGCAAACTCCGCCTCCCAGGTTCACGCCATTCTCCTGCCTCAGCCTCCCGAGTAGCTGGGACTATAGGCAGCCATCACCACGCCCAGCTAATTTTTTGTATTTTTAGTAGAGACGGAGTTTCACCATGTTAGCCAGGATGGTCTTGATCTCCTGACCTCGTGAACCACCTGCCTCGGCCTCCCAAAGTGCTGGGATTACAGGCGTGAACCACTGCGCCCAGCCCTGGATATGCTTGCTTTTTGAAAATTTACCAAGCTGTACATTTATGATGAATGAACCTTTCTGTATGTTTTATTCCAATAAAAATAAAGGGTAAACATAATCCTGATTATAAAACTGAGCAAAAAGAATGCTGAAAATTCTTTCTGAATTAATTTTAAACTTTGATTTTTCAGAAGGCATGCTTCCACTCCTACTTCCCAAGTTCTTTGAGAAAACTTCCCCATGACTAGCAGGTGCTAATGACAACAGTGGGGACAGAAAACGTGCAGGGAAGAAGGCAATTTTCGACTCCACGCTGGATTTAAGTCATCAGGCTTTTCATGAAAAGAGCTTTGCCAATCGGCATCAAGAGATGCGGTAAGAAATACATATCATTTTATTTGGTAATCTCTCTCCAGGAATTGATTTATCCTAAATCAACAACTCAATTATCTGTGAGCAATAACATAAAGTTAGACATTTAAAATTATTTTTTAGAAAAAGAAATCCTTTGAAGATAACACTTACAATTGGCGTCCCAAAAGGAATGTAACCTGTGAACGAGAAGAAAAGAGGCAGGCCTTATAATCTACCCACATCTCACCTGAGATACCCAGGAGCCTCCGGGTTAGGTCTTAGGCCATCAGTGGCCCTAATGAAGGGGTTCAGGTTAGTTAGGCGGGAGGCATCCCCAATCTCATAGACGCTTTCCCCATTCAGCCCTTGCCGGGGTTGTGTCCCCAGTCTCCTCTTCTCTGCTCCCCTTTGGCCAGGCAGCTTTCACTCTCTCCTGGAACCCAGAGGCCTGTTCCTGCAGGCAGGGCTGCCCATGGCCTGGGGCATCACTGCTTCACACTTGGTGATCCTCCTACGATTTCCTGTGAGGCACGACACACCCTGCCCACACTCACTACATGAGGCTGAACATCCTCCAAGGACCCCAGAATGTCTTCCTTCTTCCCTCAGCTTGTCTTTCTAACACAGGCCCTTATTTTCCCGGCCGGCATCATGACCATTTCTGGAAAGAAAATTCCCTCCCCACCTAAGCCATGCACCTCTAAGTGCCAGAGTTCCTTAAATCTGTGGCGTCCCCAGTGGCGCAGTAGGGAGCTGGGGTGAAGCACAGCCAGGCCCTGGGTACAGCCTCCTAGCTGCTCTCAGCCCTTGGGCGAGGCTCCCTCCACAGCCCCAACTGCTGTCAGTGGATAGCCTCTTGTCCCCAACCTCTAACCATGGCAGCCGGTGAGCAGTGGCTGGACAGCAGGATCGGGCTTATTGACTTGCATCTAAAGTGAAGCTTTGCTCCTGAGTGCCCATAATCACACACGCACATGAGCCATGGCTCTCCCACCCACTTCTCTCTGGGGAAGAGAACCAGAGTTTGATCGGGGCCTCAGAGGAATGCATGACTCAAAAAGGTCAAGAATTACAAGAGAAGCCAGGCTCAGGGTGAGAGCCTGCTGTGCCGGGTGCAGGGACTGGGGAGCATCTACAACCACACCTGTAAGACGCTCAGAGCCCTTCCCAGCACTTTGGGAGGCCAAAGCAGGCGCATCACTTGAGGTCAGGAGTTCAAGACCACGCTGGCCAACATGGTGGAAGCCCATCTCTATGAAAAAATATAAAAATTAGCCAGGCGTGGTAGTGTTTGCCTGCGGTCCCAGCTACTCGGGAGGCTGAGGCAGGAGAATTGCTTAAATCTGGGAGGTGGAGGTTGCAATGACAGAGATCACGCCACTGCACTCCAGCTTGGGCAACAGAGTGAGACTCTGTCTCAAATAAAAAGAAAAAAAAATGCTCAGAGCCTTGAAGTTTTTCATGGCAAAGCAAGGGGGCCACAGGGCACTCAACGCCCCAGTTTACACAATGACATCACATGTCCACCTACTCCCTGGTTGTTTATTTTCTTGCTCCCAATGAGGTCAGGCTCTCTGGGGGTGGGGACCCTGACTGACCCATTTGACTTAGACCGCCTTTCTCCAGCCCTCTGAGGCCCTCCCAAGGCAACAGCAGCAGTGCCCTCCCACCCCACCCTCATAACTCAAAGTGGGTGCACCCCATTGCACTGAGAAATGGCAACGAGGAGGCGTCAGCACACCCGTGAGTGTGACTCTGCAGAAACTCTCAGAACTGTTGGGGGGGATCAGCATGTCAGCCTAGCTTGTGTACCTGCTAGTGCTTTCTAAGCCCTAAAGCCCACATAGACACAGCTACCCCTTCAGTGACCACTGGGACTTCCTGGGGCAGGGATCTTGTATTCCCCTCTGCCCCCTGGCCTCCACAGAACAGGAATCCCACCTTCTGTATGTGCACAGCAGTGCAGTAACAGTGCATCCATTCTGAAAGGAGGGCTAATTGCAGGATCAGAGAATAGAGAATTAAGCTGGAGACTGACTGCCTAAAAGGGGCAGGGCAGGGAGCAGGACTTGGAAGGAAACAGCAGGCCACACACTGGTAAGAGACGGGGAATGACTTGTAGAAGCCAGAGCTTGTTTACAGGAGGCATCACTGAGGCTGTCCTAGTGAGTGCTGAGTGATGTGGAGTGGGCGGTACGGGGGGCTACCAGATTTGCCTGTGGAAGGCCCAGCTCCACCCCAACTGCTCAGGCAGAAAAGCCAGGCAAGCTCCATAGAGGATTCTGAGGCCTGGCCCCCGTCTTGTACAGGTGAGCTGAGGTGAACGTATAGGTGCAAATATGGCCACAATTGTGACAGGCTCTGTCCCCTCCTTAGGCCAAAACATCTGGACGCTCCTGGAGCTGTGACTGGAGTAAGGACCCCAGGCTGACCAGAACCAGAAGGGCCCCAGGAGCTTACCTGACATTCTAAAGGGCATGAAGATCTTTTCATTGGTGTCCGGGTGTAGAATAGCCTGGAAAAAGCAGGAACAGAGAATGGGGTGGGGACAAGGGTGCAGGGAGGGGGAACGGGGAAGGGGAAGGGAGGAGGGAGACAAGCAGAGGCATTAGGGGAGGAAGAAGGCAAGAGGACAACTTCTCTGGGAAGATTCAGACACCAGTGGCTGTAAGTTGCCTTGTGGCCAGTTAGGCCTTTCCACCACTCGAGGCAAGAGAATACCAAACCATGGGCCATAAACAGATAGCACCCCTTCTCCTAACTTACCCTAAAAGCTGAATGCAGTGGACAGCAAAAGTCCATGGGGAATGGGATCATGTCTACCTTGCAGGTCCTCTACCCCCATGCCTGGCACGTGGTAGGCACATAATAAGGATTTTGTGGACAGAGCCCTGTCTCTTGCAGGAGCTCAGAGAACCCAAGCAAAGGCCAGCCTGGCCTGAGCTCCAGGCTTCAGAGACTCTGGCCCTTGGGTGCCAGGGCAGAAGGAAGGAGTGAGGGAGTCAAGGGTAAATGTGAGAGCCCGGAAGAACCATGGGAGGAGGAGCTTCCACTAGATCCCTGGGACAGGGCAGGGTGGAGTCCAGGACAGCATGGAGAAGGAAATAGAGAATCCAAAACTGGATTACCTGCTTGATTTTCTGTGCACTCCAGAGCTGGAAGAAAGAGAGAGAAAGGAAAAGAAAATAAAGAACAAAAATCAAAAGCATATATTGGTTTAAGGTTTCCAACCCATGTTTTCTAACCCAGGGATCCAGCTCCGAAAGCATAAGAAGCTCGGGCTGTCCTTGCCAGCCCAGGCTGGGCAGTCATCCTATCCTGGGGGTGTGGCATCAAAGAGTAAGGGCCAGAGAGGTCCCAGAATGGCAGAGCTAGGGGACCTAACACGGATCAATGAAGCCAGGGGTTCTCGACTCTGTCTGCACTTTAGAATTCCTTGGATAATTTTTTCAGCATTTTCCTAAAGCTCCCTAGTTGACTCTAAGTCATAAGCAGGTAGAAACCTCTGATTTAAATGAAGATACTTCAACTGTCTCCCAGAATCACTAGTGGCAGCATAATATAATTTTTTCAGAGATAGCCTAGATTCCCTGCTGTGCCACTTCTACCTTTGAGCCTCAGTTTCCTCATCTGTGGAATGGGTCTAATAGCCATGCCTCTAACACAGAGTCATTTAAGAGGTGAATGGGAAGCTCTTGGAGCAGTGTCAGCACAATAGCATGTGCTTGTAAGTGCTTACTGTTGCTGACATTATTATGCCTGTTGTTGTTATAAGAAGGCTATAGGGAGAAAAAAGTTCCTTTCAAATGCTGATGAGGCTGTCTCTTTCCAGCAAAGAGACAGGTTGGAGAAACAGAATAATTTGTCAATCCCCTCAAATGACCTAAATACTGTATTGCATCAAATCTAAGACACCACTGATCCTAAGATATACTATTATGTGCCACATACGAAAGAAAACTATGACCATAATACCAAGACCCCCACCAATTAAAAGACTCATTTCATTTTACAGATGTTATAATGTGATAAAGTAGGCTTTTTTTGGGCGGGGGGGATGGAGTCTCGCTCTGTTGCCCAGGCTGGAGTGCAGTGGTGCGATCTCAGCTCACTGCAACCTCCGCCTCTCAGGTTCAAGTGATTCTCCTGCCTCAGCCTCCTGAGTAGCTGGGATTACAGGTGCTCACCACCACGCCCGGCTAATTTTTGTATTTTTAGTAGAGACGGGATTTCACCATGTTGATCAGGCAGGTCTCAAACTCCTGACCTCATAATCTGTCTGCCTCGGCCTCCCAAGGTGCTGAGATTACAGGTGTGAGCCACCACGCCCGGCCCAGGCCTTTTCAAATCAAGGAAACATGGTAAATAAACATTTACACTGTCCGGCAGCCAGGCACAGTGGCTCGCGACTGTAGCCCCAACAGTTTAGGAGGTCAAAGCAGGAGGATCGCTGAGCCCAGGATCAGTCCACCCTGGGCAACAAACGGAGACCCCATCTCTACAAAAACTCTTAAAAATTAGCAGGGCGTGGTGGCATGTGCCTGCAGACCCAGCTATTCAGGAGGCTGAGGTGGGAGGAACACTTATGCCCAGGAGGTAGAGGCTGCAGTGAACCATGATTGTGCCATAGCACTCCAGCCTGGATGACAGCGTGAGAACCTGTCTCCAAAAAAAGAAAAAAGAAAAAAACCAAAGGCCAGTATATTTTTTTTAATAGAGAAAGAAGGCTATGGGGCTAGAAGGAAGATACAGCCAGCAGCTGATGTTAAAGTTTTATAATAGAATGGTTGTTATGCCTCATGTATATGGCAATGTTGGTCATCTGGAACATAAATTAAGCTGCAGAAGTTAAGAAGGCTACTGGGTAGTAAAAATAGAAGTTATAAAATTGATACATTAAAGTTTATGCATTTTTCTCACAGCTGAGTCCCTCAAACCTTACTTCACAGCCTAATTAACTCTTATTTTAGACACATTTCCAACACACTTGATTGTCTGCTATTCCAGACCCAGGCAGATTAGAAGCAGTCAATGTTTAAAAAATAATAATTGGGGAACAGAGGGGACTGACGAGAGAAAAGTCAAAAAGTGGAATCACTGCTAGCACAAAGGTTAAGTGAGAGCCTAACAGCTAAGAGGTTATATATATATATATAAAAAGATAAAAGGCCAATCCTTCCCTCTTTGCTCAGTAAGCAGCTTCCTGAAGTGCACGGTCAAGTCTGGGCTCTGTCCCTGGTGTGACCCCAGGCTCTGTACACAGACTCCTGACACCCCACACCTTCCACCCTAGTCATAACCTTCTGCATCCTCTCCCCTCTGGATTCACAGTCAGGCCACTCAGAGGTAGGAACTGGCTTTTCAGCACTGTCTCCTAGCACATTCCAACCCCACAGGGCCTGGAACACAGTAGGTGCTCAATACATGCTTAATGGAGGAATATCGTCTTCTAAAACAGAAGTATATCTAGACTTAAGTTGACTTCTGGCAAGGCACAGTGATGCCAAGGCACAGTTTCATCTCCTTTTCTTCCCAAATCCTCGAGAAAAGAACTGCAAAGGAATAAACCAGCTGAAAATCCCCTCAGGGAGGAAGGGGACATACAGCAGGCGGAAGATGTCACACATCTTTGAAAGGTGGTAAGCTGATGAAGAGACGAGAGGTTGGCAATGTTGCAGAGGGTGGAAGTGCACCCCACATGCTCAGCGGGAGTGAGTGGGCTCAGCCCAACTAGAGCTCCAGACACCGCGAAGGTGCAGGCAGCATGGCCAGAGAGCAGGGAGAGAGTTTGAAAATGTCCCAGCGCACGGAGCAGGGAGGCCCAAAGTCCCCGCCCAGGTAATGGAGGTTTATTCTCCAGCGAAGCTGAATCAGAACAGCCCAGACATGGTCACAGGCACAGGGGGACCAGGCAAGGATCTGAGTGCTGAGTCTCTAAAGGAGCCCATCTGTGTCCAGCTCCCAGGACACCACAGCTAGGAGGATGGAGACACCTTCTCCAGGGAAACAGAAAGGATCCCAAAGAAATGACCCACAAGAGGGTTGGATTCGTGGACAGGTCATCAGCGCAATGCTGAGAAGGAGGTCCCGTTCCAGTGGTCTGATGCTGCTGTCTTTTTTTTTTTTTTTTTCCGCCCAGGCTGGAGTGCAGTGGTGTGATATCGGCCCACTGCAAACTCCTCCTCCCAGGTTCAAGTGATTCTTGTGCCTCAGCCTCTCCAGTAGCTGGGATTACAGGCATGCGCCACCACACCCGGCTATTTTTTATTTTTTTAGTAGAGACGGGGTTTCACCATGTTGGCCAGGCTGGCTTGAACTCCTGGCCTCAAGTGATCCACTTGCCTCGGCCTCCCAAAATGCTGGGATTACAGGCATGAGCCACCTCGCCCGACACGGTTGCTGTCTTGACTTTAATACAGGCATTGCCACCTAAGGACATTTTGGTCAATGACAGACCACATATACAATAGTGGTCCCATAAGACTACAAGAGAGCTGAAAAATTCCTATGACCTAGTGACCTTGTGGCTATCTTAAAGTAATAGTACAATGCATTACTCACATTTGTGGAAATGCTGGCGTAAACCAACCTACTGCATTGCCAGTCACATAAAAGCCTAGCACAACACCCGACAATAATAAACAACGTTACTGGTTTATGTGTTTACTATGCCATGCTTCTTCTTATTTTATTTATTAATTATTATTTTTGAGACGGAGATTCACTCTTGTTGCCCAGGCTAGAGTACAATGGCACAGTCTTGGTTCACTGCAACCTCCACCTCCCAGGTTCAAGCGATTCTCCTGCCTCAGCCTCCTGAGTAGCTAGGATTACAGGCGCCCACCCCCATGCCCAGGTAATTTTTGTATTTTTAGTAGAGACAGGGTTTTAACATGTTGGCCAGGCTGGTCTCAAACTCCTGATCTCAGGTGATCCACCTGCCTCAGCCTCCCAAAATGCTGGAATTACAGGCACGAGCCACTGTGCCCAGCCACTTGTTATTTTAGAGCGTATACCTTCTATGTATATTTTTTTTTAAAAAAAGTTAACTGTAAAACAGCCTCAGGCAGGCCCTTCAGGGGGTATTCCAGAAAGAGGCATACTTATCATAGGAGATGACAGCTCCTGCGTGTCACTGTTCCTGAAGACTTTCCAGTGGGACCAGATTTAAAAGACAGCGATACTGATGATCCTGACTCCATGTAGGCCTAGGATAATATGGGTGTCTGTGTCTTACTTTTTAACGAAAACGTTTAGAAAGGTTTTTAAAAAAGTAAAAATGTTTAAAAATAGGAAAGAGCTTATAGACAAGAATTTTTTTTGTACAGTTGTACAGTGTGTTTGTGTTTTAAGCTAAGTGTTATTACAAAACAGTCAAAAAGTTTTAAAAATGTACAAGTTTATGAAGTAACGCTACTGTAAGCTAAGGTTAATTTATTTTGAAGAGAGAGAATTTTTACAATAAATTCAGTGCAGCCTAAGGATATGTCTTTATAAAGCCTACTGTAGTGCACAGTCATATCCTACGCCTTCACGTTCACTGACCACTCACTCACTCACTCACTCACTCACTCAGAGCAACTTCCAGTCCTGCAAGCCCCATTCATGGTAAGTGTTCTATGAAGGTATATCATTTTTTATCTTTTTTTTCTTTTTTTAGACAGGTCTTGCTCTGTCGCCCAGGCTGGAGTGCAGTGATATCATCACGGCTCACTGTAGCCCCCACCTCTCCAGCTCAAGCAATCCTCCCACCTCAGCCTCCTGAGTAGCTGGGACTACAGTCATGTGCCACCACACTTGGCTAATTTTTTGTGTGTTTTTGTAGAAACATGGTCTCCCTATGTTGCCCAGGCTGGTCTCTGACTCCCGGGCTCAAGCAATCCTCCCACTTCAGCCTCTCGAAGTGTTAGGATTACAAGCATGAGCCGCCGTGCCTGGCCCCATCTTTTTAATCTTTTATGCCGTTATTTTTACTGTACCTTGTCTATGTTTAGATACACAAATACCATGTGTTCCAACTGCCTACAGTATTCAGTAGAGTACCATGCTGTACAGGTTTATAGTCTAGGAGTAACAGGCTGTACCATACAGCCTAGGTGTGGAGTAGGCTCTACCATCTAGGTTTGTATAAGTGCACTCTATGATGTTCCCGTAA